CCTTTTTCTATGCTCTGTGGAGCTCAGAATGGACCACAGTGCATCTCCTTATGCAAAGTGGAAACCCCTGGGTCACGCTTGGCATCTTGTGTCTGCCCCGCCTGCCTCCCCTCAGCAAGATTTATTTTAGTTCATCCCTGAATCTTTTCATTTTTATCTCATAAATCTCTCCTTAGTTTTTCCTCTTGTCCATACCTTATTGTTACATACCAAGCCTACATACAAACATCTCTTGCTAACAAAGTTTCTTTCTGGCCTCTTTACCCACTCTTGCCCCTCTTCAACCTACAACCAGGCAGTAGCTGACAGGGCTGGGTTGCTCAATAGATGGACCAGACTCGTGCTGGTCTCACAAAGCAGGCCACCAAAAAACCGAGGCAGGGAGCCTGCCACGTCCTGTCTGCTGTCTGTGGGGCACAGTGGGTGTTGACCCAGGACCTTGCTTCAGACATAAACTAAGAGCCTCCCAGGTGGCGGCCTCCCAGGTGGTGCAGCAGTAAAAGAACCCACCTGCCAGTGCAGGAGACACAAGAGACACGGGTTCCATCCCTGGTCGGGAAGATCCCCTGGAGTAGGAAATAGCAACCCCCTCCAGTACTCTTGCTTGGAGAATTCCATGGACAGTGGAGCCTGGTGGGCTACCATCCGTGGGGTCACAGAGAGTCAAACTCGACTGAGCCCACACACGCCTCTCGGGGGAGGACGTTGACTGCATGCTGACCACGGGCATGCAGACCTCAGACTGGTTCGAACCAGAAGACGGATGATTAAGATTCCCAAAACATCATCCTGTTATCCCACCACCAACCAATAAGAAGAATGTCTATGAGTTGATCACAAACCTGTGATCCTTACTCCTAATGCTGCCTTAAAAAAAACCTTTGCTCCAAAGCATCAGGGAGTTCAGGTCTTTTGAGTGTGAGTTGTCCATTCTCCTGGATTTGTGTCCTGCAAATAAATGCTACACTTACCTTCACCACAAAAAAAAAAAAAAAAAGAAATTGAGACAAGCTTTCTTGACAAATTTTGTGTTTTGTATCGGTTAGGATACAAAATTCCTGCAGGTAATAGAAACCCCAGCTAAGACAGTGAGAAAATATATTATCTCTCCTAACAAGTTCAAGGTTAGGTAGGCTGTAAGGTTAGGCTCAGCCATGTCTTGAAGAGCCTATGTTTTTCCTATCTTTCCATTCTTCTGCCTCCCCTCGTTGTGGCAAGGGGGCTGTCAGGAGCAAATATGCAGCCTACTCCCCTAAACACATCCTGTGGTAGAAGGAAAATCTCCTTTCCAACTATAAGTTCTTCCCTGAGTTTGAATTAAGCAAATCTAAGCTACTTGTGCACTTGTGGGCCAGGGAAAGGCCAAAAACTGTTGGCATGGACTGTCTGAGGCTTACTTGTGGATTACATGGACAGCTGAACAAAATTTGAGAATCTGCTGAGAAGGAGGAAGAGGAGACAGATGCTTACCCCTGATCTAATACGGCTCCTCTTTTATATAAAGCTTGAAATATAGGGAAGGGGCCTTTGTATACTGCAGAAAGAGAAAGGTAATTTAAGCAAAACAGTCACATTACAGTATGACTTTCCCCCTTATTTCAATATTCAAAACTCAAACGCATTTGATTTTCTGTCATCCGGCACAAACTAACTTTAATAATTTGTCTATAATTAAGTAAAGGGCTTTCTAATTTTTCTTATTACATTATGATAAAGTTAAAACATAAAAGCTGGTATGTGGGATCAGGTGTGGGTCATCCTTTTCCCAATTAAAAAATATACTGAACATGATGGCAGAGTTTCGCTGACTACAGGAGTAAATAAAAAGTCACATTCTTTCCTTCTGGGCTGTAAACATTTAAGCAATATATTGCTTAAATCTACAATTATGCCAGCCTTAAGTAAAACAGAAACATACTTTAGGCACAGTTACAGGATAAGTTGAAAGATCTGAAACCATCTCTTCAGATAATGGACTTAGGCACATTATAGGTAGTTAAGTTATAAAATCTACTGTATTAAAAATTAAGCATGTCTAACCCAGAAATAAGGACTTTTGGATAATCTTTATAAAAATGAGGCTACTGATTTAAAAAAAGTACTTATGTCACTAGTAAGCACTGAGGTCTAGGTAATTCATCTGCCTGTACCTGTGTGCAGTTGGCAGCTGCCGGTTATATCAAACTGTGGAAACTTTCCTCCCCTGTGTCATCAGGATCTGTTGATGGCCAGTTAAAGAGAAAAGTAAGTTGAAGAGAAAAGCAAGTTAAAATGGAGAATCACAAAATTATAATAAATATCCTTATAACTTTATTTTTAACTTAAAACATATACAAGTTCATTCATCCATCATTCCTTTGATATCAGGCTAAGGCCTCTTCTCTGAATGGGGTCTGATTGGGGGGCACATAAGATATCCATTAGCACAGCAAGTAGCCTTGTCAATTTTAGTTTCAGCGCAGTGAGGACTCCAGACACTGTGGAGCAGACCAAGACAGAATTCTAGATTTTGCCAACCCTTTCTTCCCACCCAAACTTCCACATTTGTTCTGTCCACACTTAATTCCACAGCACCTTTTTTTCCTGATACCAGGTCTTTCTCAAGCATTCAACATAATTTCAGAGAGATTACGACTCTCTTCACATTCATATTTGATTGATTTTGGTAATACTGCATTAAATTATGTAATTACTGAGTACAACTTGCATAAACAAGTTTGGGAACAAGTGATTGACTTTGAAAAGCATACAACTCAGGGAGAAATGTGACTAGCCCATCAGGAACTGGCCTACTTACTAGCTGTAAAAAGTTTGTGGGCCTTCCTCACCATTTTTCACAGAGAACAGAGACTGGTTCAAATGTCTGAACCATTGGAAAGCAGAGTCGGTTTAAGAAAATTCAGAGACTTAGCCCTCAAACTCACATGAAATTACCGCAGACACTCTTTCAGAAAGGATGTTAATAAAGATCTGGCCAACCTTCCTTTGCTATTAATAGGTCCTTAGTGGGACCAGCAATGCTTCTCTGAGGGAGGGTGCCGTGCCTGAGCCCCCATCTGGATGTGTGCAGTGGCACTAGTTCTACCCCTGGTAAATACTCTAAAATATAAAATATACCTATCTTCCTTTGAAGGAAGCAGGCGAGGAACTGTTCCTAGTTTATGTTTAATAAAACACTTAAGTCTAAAGTAGCCTTAATATCAGTTGGATTACTAAGGATAATAAAATTCTCTAGGAGAACCCATCTGCTAGCCAAAAGGGGGGAAAAATGATCCTGTTTCCTGGTGCCCTCTTGTGATAAAACAGCAGGTCTACAGTGGGATTATAAACCTTTAAGATTAAATTATCTTCATTTACCTTCATTAGGAGTTGAACACTAAGAATTAGACAGCAAAATGATAAAAGAGGTGGTGCTTGAGGGTAAGCCATGGAATTAGAAGTATTTCCTCTCTACCCTCTTAATGTCTAAAATGAAATTATATTACTTTTAGAAGTAAAAACAACAAAAATACCAACACAATTTACCACCACACTTAATTAGTAATAATAAGCAGAAGCAGTTTAAAGTTCTAGACAGAATGACTTGTAGTCTTAACCTTAATCCCTCTTTGAGTAATTCTTATTGAATTCAGTGGGAAGACCAAATAATTCTTTTAAAATGTTCCTATTGTTTTGTCTCAGGCTGTTTAAAAATTTTTAAGAGAGATAAAAAGCAAGCAAGACAAATCCACAGCTGTTTTCCCACTAGCATTCAGGAAGCTCACCAAGTTATAGAATCTCTATCTTAAAAGGTTTAACTAGCTTTCCTAATGGCAGCACTGAGTTGGGTAAAGGTTATGAACTCTGGAGCTGAAATGCCACTGACTAGCTGAGTGACTTTGCTGCTAAGTCGCTTCAGTCGTGTCCGACTCTGTGTGACCCCATAGACGGCAGCCCACCAGGCTCCTCTGTCCCTGGGATTCTCCAGGCAAGAACACTGGAGTGGGTTGCCATTTCCTCCTCCAATGTGTGAAAGTGAAAAGTGAGAGTGAAGTCACTCAGTCATGTCCGACTCTTCGCGACCCCATGGACTGCAGCCTACCAGGCTCCTCCGTCCATGGGGTTTTCCAGGCAAGAGTACTGGAGTACTTCAAGATTTTTATTAATATTTTCTACTATGCCTAGACAAGTTAAGTTAGTATTAGTCACTCAGTCATGTCTGACTCTTTGTGACCCCGTGGGGTGTGCCTGCCAGGCCCCTGTGTCCATGGAATTCTCCAGGCAAGAATACTGGAGTGGGTGGCCATGCCCTTCTCCAGGGGATCTTCCCCACCCAGGAATCAAGTGGGTCTTCTGCATTGTGGGCGGTTTCTTTACTGTCTGATCCACCAGGGAAGCGCAGACAGGTTAAACAGGGGCTTAATGAAATTCATGCTAAACTTAGGACAAGTAATCTAAATGTTTAAGAAGACAGGGTTTACACAAGGTAAGGAGATGAAGATCTTGAATAGGGAATTCCCAGCTGGTCCAGTGGTTGGGACTCCATGCTTTCACTGAAGCAGGCATGAGTTCAATCCCTGGTCAGGAAACTGGGATCCTGCAGGACGTGTGGCCAAAAACAAAAAAGACATCTTGAATGATGTCATAGGTGTGCCCATTAATATACAGCAGTCCTTCCTAAAGCTTCCCCAGAGTGTGGGGGCCCCTAAGAGATGCTGACGGTGCACTAGGAGGAATCCAGGTGGAAATGATGTGTGTTTGTGTATGCTGGCAGTTTTAGAATATGAATATCGATTCTTGGATGTTCCAAGAACATCAATTCTTGGCTCCTTCAAAAGGCGGAGCCTAATCATCCCCCTTGAGTGTGAGATGGACTCAGTGACCTGCTTCTAACAGATAAAATGAAGCGCAAGTGGTGGCGTGTAATGTTGGAGACTAGGTCTTTGCTTGCTTGCATCTGGAGGAAGCTGAGGAAGCCAGCTGCCCCATCCTGAGGACAACTCAGCAGCCGTGTGAGAGGCTCACATGTGTGGAACCGAAGGCTCCTGCCACCCGCCACGTGAGACAGCTTTCTTGGAGGTGGACGCCCCTTTCCTGCCCCCAGCCCCAGTGAAGCTTTCATTTGACTGCAGTTTCTGGCTTGAGGGAAACCTCATGAGGGGCACTGAGCCACTCCTAGGTCTGATCTGAAGAAACTGCAAGTTCATTGTTCTAAGCTGCTGTATTTTAGGGTAACTTTCTACACTGTATAGGTAACCACTATGGTGTGTTAAAGGATAAAGTGAAGAAGACAGCAGGGTACGATACCCTTTTAGGACCTGACACTTCACCTGGTAAAAACCCATCATCTTGACCCCTAGAGCTATTGCAAATTGCTGTGATAAAATGGTTTCTTTCTTCTCCCTGCTCAGGCACTTCTTTTTCAGTCACCAGTATGTCAGGGTATGTGCTACTACTTAGCATAATCACCTAGAACATTCTCAACCTAGAACATTGAGTGCGGACTGCAATCACTGTTCACTGTTTACTAGAAGGCTGGCAGCCTGGCTATGGAGACGCCCCAAAGAGTAAGAACTGCAAAATCTGTCTTTGATTCTTTGTCCTGAAGGGAGATAAACTATTTCATTAAAATATTCAAAACTCATCGGCTAAACAGACAGACATGGAGGCTGAACTACACAAACTAAGTTCACATGACACTGATGTATAAATCAGAAAGTTTCTCTAAATTCTGTGTGCAGAATGGCATTCTGAGTTCCCCCTTTTTCTGAACAACGGCTTAGAGGCCAAATCAGCAATTAGGTTAAGCTTGCAATTAGAGGCCAAAGTGGCAAGGCCTGAGGTATGGTCTTCCCAAGACATATGACCTGAGGCAGAGAGCACCTCTGGTCACCGAACAGCTCACATCTCTTGGATTCAGCACCTCCCTTCCATGGGTTAACACTGTGTTCACACTGTCACACTTTCTTTCTCTGTACTCCTGGTAAACCGACATTTTCTGTTAACATTTTCTTTCCTCAAATGAGTTAATAGCAGTTAAAAGCCACAGTGTACCTGATAAACGTTGAGGCTCTTCTCACATGATGATTTAATAGTTTGATGCTCTGGGGATACCTTATGACCAACTCCTCGGGAGGGATCCTGCTGCTGTCTTCACATACTACCTGCGTAGTTTGGAGCACAGGGCAGTTATGAGCACACCAGAGCTTAGCCAGAGATAATATTCAGAACTGGCACAGCACTGCAAGGGTAGTTTTGTAAGTTCTGCTCTTTTATCTAGAAATTTTTGTAATCAACAACATCCTAAGGTGATCACCAGGGGTTGAAAAATGAATAGACAGCAGTTATCAAAAACAGGACATTTATGTGATGTTCTTCTCTTCTCAAACCACTACATATAGCAGTATACTTTTCTAACTTGAGTCATGAATATTCTTATCAAAATAAAGTCATTCACATTTGGAACAAAGGCTAATCTATACCAGTCAGTTTCAGAAATTCAAAAATAGATTTTTACTATTCACAATTAAAAATTAACCTTGTGATAACTTATAATGGATAAGAATATGAAAAAGAATATGCATATATGTATAACTGAATCATTCTGCTGTGCATGGAAAACTAACACAACATACTCAACTGTATTTCAATTAAAAAAATGTTTCAAGAGAAAATATTTTAGCATTTAATGTCTTAGTATTAATCAACATCTACTAATTCAAAAGTTACCATGTTCTGTTAAATGTACGCACTTGAATTATTAAAAAAAAAACTGGAATTACAATAAAATTCTCAATATTTTGCTTATTATGTAATCAGGTAAACAGAATCATGCCAAGGTTGATAATTATTGATTAGTAACATGCCAAAATTTTCATATATTTATAAACATATCAAAATCTCTTCTAGTTTCATTGTCCTCAGAAACCTAAGAATACCACTCAATGGTCATTTACTTGTCATTTTCATTAGACACCATTCTTTTTGACCTCATATTCTACTGAATACATCTTTCCCTGATTACTTTTCTGTTTTACTAAAAAGAAAAAAAAAACTATTTTTCTTGGGAACAAAATGAAATCTAAATTAATTCAATAGCTGTTGAAATTTCACCTGAAATTTTAGACAGCCACAAACACACAAAAGGAAAAGGTAAACACATTAGCTTTAACATTTAACTAGTATACAATAAAAATTAAAAGAGCTATTTTGGGAAAGTAGAAAAACTGATTAAAGTAAAAGTCCTGTCATCAACATTTTTATTTAGTTTAGTATTTGTTAGAATATAAATACATAACAATATGTTCTTTCTTATCATGGGTAGTCTTTTACATAACTAAAATTCATGGCCAACATTTTATATAACACGCAACACAAAACAAAAAAAATCTGTAAATTATCAGAATGGGACAAGGACATCAGAAAATAATACACTTCATATAAATTAGAGAGGACAGTTACAATGAAAATCCATTACTTTCTTCTCTAACTCAATTTTACAAGATAAAGTCAACAGGTATTTTGTGGACTGTTATGAATGCACAAACATGTGGCTCTTTCAAAAGACACCAGTCCAAAAAAAAAAAAAAAAAAAAAGACACTGGTCAAACACAAATATCATCTTGATGTCATCTATTGTTCTTAGTTCTTAACTGGAGTTGAGCTTCCTTTCATGGTCTTCTTTAGGTGATGGTAGTTTGGCAAGATTTTCATCAGGAAATCCAGCTGTAGTGTCTGGGGCTAAAAAGATAAGAGAATTAAGAACTGGCCAGCAGAAAGCAAAGTTAAGAGCATCAAGTAGAAATGATTATCACTAAGTCATGGAATTACAGGTGATTTTCACTGATCTCTTTTTTTTGGACTGAGGCATGCCAAATCTTAGTTCCCTGACCAGGGATTGAAGCTGTGCCCCCTGCGGTGGATCCCGTTCACTGACTTAATTTTGCTTTCCTGCTTTTTCAATTTACAATGAACATACATTAAGTTTGGTAATATAAAACTTTTGCATATAAAAATGTATGTTTATCAGTTTTCAACCTTGCTTTTTATACATTTCATCTTGGCCTCTAAGAAGTGAAAGAGTTTCAATTATAGTAGAGAACAGGAGTACACTGCTTTCTATATGACAGAGCACACAGCTATGACACTCATCTGATCTTCACTCTTCATATATCAGCTTTGCTCACACTTGGCCTCACTGTAAAATTCACTTGGTGTACTGTTAGACCCTTTGCCCTAATCGCTTTGGTTGAAAAAGTCTGGGGATCATTTGTAATAAGGACCTCTATGTGATCCTTATAATTGGTAAAACATGGAAAACAGTGTTGCATACATACCATTACATATTAAACTTCAGATATTCTTGCTCACTTAATTCTAATCTCCCTTAACCCAACTCCAGCTTCATTTCTCCCTCTTCAATCATTTTGCTGTTATGCAGAAAGATAAGTGAAAAAATACTAGATTTGTTCTTATTTCTTTTTTGGTCCAGAGAATAGTAATACTTGCTTATAATAATAAAAGTCAAAGATTACAGAATTAGAATAAGCCAGAAAGAACTGGCATTTTAATTTCTGATAAAATATGGCTAAGAATCAAAAGTGCTAAATGCCTTGCAAACATTTTCTTTGGGGGAGGGGAAGGAGGCTGCGTAACCAAGGAAATAGACTGCGTGTGCCAAGCAGTAAGGTTAAAACTTCAATCAGAATGCCTTCTGTCCAAAGGAAGCCCCAAATGCTCTATCAATACTTATTTCCTACTCTAACATGAAACTCCAAATGCATACATGCCATTATTCTTGGTTATTAGGAGGGGACAATTCCTCATAAGCCAGGAAAATATCTAAATATACTTGTATATTCACAAGCTGCATTTATTTTCAAGCCAACTATGTCAGTAAACTGATAGGTAGACCCAAATTGGGTGTACAGTAATTTGGTAGGTTCATTTCTTACCCTTGAAGGTTGGTATTTTAGGAGCAAATCAGTATAGTTTGTAATGCACCAGTGAAAATATGTAAGAAAAAAGTAACATCCCTGGATGTTCTCTTCCCAAAGTCAATGTGTCACTGTCATCTTTGGACATATTTCTGATATTAACTTAAGGACTCAATAATTCTACTGAGTCAACAAATAAACTGTAGTTTTAGGAATGTTACTCTGATGCTTTATTGTTAATCATTTGCTTTTTAAGTAACAGATTCGCTGCCCCATTAAAACATTTATGTGTTATTTGGGGAAAATTAGCAGCCCTAGAAAGGACGGTACCTACTAAAGAGGTTCTAGTACCTGTGGCCGTTCAGTCTGCACTCGACGAAGGCAGTCTCCGCCATAGATTACTGTGTTCTCAGGGATGACTTCAAACGTGTTCAGGTTGCAACAGGCCCCGATGATACACCCACTTGTCAGTATTACATTTCTGCCGACATACGCTGCAGGAAAGACACATAGAGAACCACAACATAAGGCAATCAACGACTCAACTAGAACACTGTTTTTTTCCTAAGACAATGCAAGCATAAGAATACAAACTGCCCTTAAGAAACATATTAAAAGAAGTACTTCACTTCAGAGTTTGTACAGCAGAGAGGCAGAACCAGGCTAGTATTAAGTGGATTCAAAACAGAGCTCTGTTGTCATCTGTGACCTGTAAATGCTCTCAGCGAGTTTATCTCTAAAATGGAGCCCACCCTACTTCACAATGTGCGGTAAGGAATAAATGAGATAATAAATGTCAAGTGTCAAGCACAGGTCTGACACATGGTAAGTATACAATAAATAGAAAATGACAATGATACTCATCATCATCATAACTGGTAATCCAAATTAAATAAAAACCATTAAGTAGGTTAACAAAAAGTCTAATTATTTAAAAAAAAAATCTTCTTTCATGCCATTCAAGACTAAGAAAGGAAAGGCATTATTCTAAAGAAGTCTTGGGCAGTGCAAGTTCGTTGTATGAAGCAGGGCACTCAAAGCCGGTGGGGAGAGAGGTGCGTGGGGGGGTTCAGAATGGGGGGACACATGTGCACCCATGGCTGATTCATGTCGACGTATGGCAAAAACCACCACAATGGTGTAAAGTAATTATCCTCCAATTAAAATTAATTAATTAAAAAAAAAATAAAGAGGTCATGGGCTTCCCTGGTGGCTCAGTGGTAAAGAATCCACCCGCCAATGCAGGAGACATGAGTTCCATCCCTGATCTGGGCAGATCCCACATGCTGCAGAACAACTAAGTCCACGCTCACGACGATGGAGCCTGTGCCCGACAAGAGAAGTCACTGCAATGAGAAGCCGTGTGCCTCACCTCGAGAAAAGCCCTCGAAGCAACGAAGACCCAGCACAGCCAAAAATAAATAAAAAAATCTTTAAATGAATAAAATGAGTTTATTTTTCCTCTTAAATAGATACCATTATTGAGAAAAATAAACAGAGAAGTCTTATCATTCTGGTTCTCTTTGGACAAGCTCTTGGAGTCACTTCCCAGCAGTGGTGGCAACCCAGGTAAGCCCCCTGCCTAGCCCCTCCTGTGATAAGTAGCTTACATTTGTTTCTAATGGGTTAGGGGAAAGCAGTCCTGAAATTAAAGACAGCAAACTACTAGAGAAATTGTTTTTTTTTTCCCTTTAATTCAACAACAACATGAATCAACTAAATTACCACTGACACTAGTTTTTAGTAGAAATCTTTTTCAAATCTTTCACCTGAGGGTTTAACTCAATCCTGACTTAAATGTACACAGCTAGAAATTTAATTTAATGGATAAAACACATGATTAGATTAGGTTTCTTAAAGGCAAAAAATTCATCTCATGGCTATGTTAGCCTGCTTCCAACCATGCCTGTAGTCCTTCTAAGCACATGGCTTCGTCATGGTTTGCACTTAGGCTGTTTTCTAGACCACCACAGACAGAAAGGTAATCACTTCTCACAATATAGTTCCAAACATAGCTTACCTTTTGACTCGATAACATTATTATCTCCTATTTTCATGGCTTGGCAATCTGTAAGCCAGAGTTAAGTACACATTGTGAACATGTTCATCTTTTTCTTTCTAACTCACTCTCCTTGTCCTGCAGTGGGGCGGATAGAGGTCTGGGAGGGCCCCACAGGCTGGGCTGACCAGAACTCCCTGCTCAGGGCAGTTGGCAAGTAAAGTTTAATTCTTTAAACAGAAATATCTTGAAGTATAAATAAACGACTTCTATATTTTTAAAGAAATGAGCACCTTATACCTCAATTTTATGAGTATTTTCATAATTAAGAAACATATTTTCATAATTAGGAAAATTAAAACTAACCCCAATCACGTAAGGGTGGCACTGTTAACAGCTTGACATATCTTTATGTAAAGATATATAATTCCCTTTACATAACTGGAAATCAAACTGTATAAAATAAAACTGTATAACTGCTGATAGCTTGCTTCATTCAGTTCACCTACCTTTGCAAGCCTTATTCCATACCATCAGAATCTTTAAAAACATAATTTTAAGTGATGCTTAATGGTTCTAATGGTGTATCTTATAACTGAAGCTTAATTCATTTAAATATTTTGCTATTGTTAAACCTTTAGATTTTTTCCTTGAAGTATTAATAGTTTCTCTTATAAAATAATGTTTTACTCACACTATGAAAAGATTTTAGTCACATTATGAAAAAATTTTACTCTTTTTAGAGCATGAAATCAGCAAAAGCATGGAAACACTCAGGAGAAAAACATCTAAGAATGAAATATTTCCAGCCCATCCACCACTTCCTTGTATCAGACAACAACACGCTGTCAACCTAAAACTATACAGGAGTCACAAATGGACAGAGCTGTGGTTCTTAAATCAGGATTGAAGCCAAGATTACTCTGCTTCATGTCCACTGCCACTCAGCCACTGTACCCGCTGACAAGATGCAGCAACACAAGCAAGACGGTTTCTAGAGGTGTGTGCATGTGCATGCATGCACAGCTGCAAACAGCACGCTTCCTTCACGCTCTGAAGTTACTCTGTGAAAGAGAGGGAATCGTTTTTTTTTTATATACAGTAAATAAGTCTTTTCAAGACATGGATGGCCTAGTCCTAAAAATATAATTCATATATATATATATATATATACACACACACACATAATATAGGTCACATATATAATGAAATTATCTGTTATATATAAAGTGTATGTGTCTGTGTGTGTGTGTGTGTGTGTATATATATATATATGTATACATAAAGTATTTGATAGCTCATTTATGACAATTTCTACAGAGGAGATCAAGCACTGAAAGACAGTCGGGAATGATTTCTCTTAAATTATTGCAAAGGATACAACAGCCAACTTCAAACACATTATTGGTGCCAATGATCATAGGTTTGGGTTCTGGATCTTCTGCATCAGGAGTGATATTATCAGGGTGACTATAAAAAAAAGAGAGAAATTATCAAAAAGTCAATAATGCAATAAGCAATTCTCCCGTTACAGAATTTGGGTTCTTTCTCTCAATTGTACCTCTATCAAGCTTTATATGTGTAATGACGTTCAGTAATTTCTTAATCCAAGTGAATTATTTATCCTCTCTGCTGGAGAAGACCTGATTCTGAATTGAAAAAGAACTACTGAAATGTAAAGAAATCACAGGTGTGTATAGAAGGTCAGTCTTCCTTTGTTTATTTTTTAAACTCAAAGTCAGGGGACCATTCCCAGGACAAGGTAGAAAAGAAGCTGGCTGGGACGCTCAGCTTGTTAAACTGGAATCAAAATCATGCCTAACTTGAAGATTTTCCATCCCTAATAACCATTCAAGATTGTGAAATGTAAACAGATATTCATGTAAAATAATCATTTTATGCTGTTACGTGGTTAGCTGAAATATTTGTAACAAAAAGATGTTTGTAGTCTAAGAGGAGGAAGCCATTTAAACATGGTGCTTTATCTCTGACAGCTGAGTTACTGCAGAATATAGCTGTTGTTAATTGACTTACACTAAAGGTGCCAAAATATATTTTAAAAAGAAACTGTTTAATATAGTAAGAAACTCCCAAAGCCTAAGTAAGCATTAAGACAAATCAATCTCTTTATCACAGTTAAATATTTTCCCAAGGTCTTTACTACAAATTCCATACACTGTTGCTATAAATCAGGTATAAGCTTGAATTTCCTGCCAAAATTTTATCTAGCTTTACAGATGCTTGTAAAAATTTCATAGGTATTACAGTCTACTTCACTAAGATCATACATGTTCTAATAGCTTATAATTGTTTTTAATCTTTAAAGTTGAAAAACTGCCTCTAGGACCTCCAGTTTTTCAAATATAATTCTGTTATCCCCACAAGGCATACGAAAATACACATCAGACTGAAGTTCACATGCCTGGTATGAGCAATAACTTGGCAGCCAGAATCAAAACATCCAATCAGAAGACAAGTCGAGGCTGGGAGCAGCACAGGGATGCTGGGGTGTCCTCAGGAAACGTCTCCTCAAGGAACAGAAGAGGCCGGCCCACGTAAGGGAAGACGCCCAGACCCGGAGTCGGAGATTCCAGGCATCCACCTACGAGCCGCTTCACCCTGGACAAGTCTCTCTGCCCCTCTGGTCTGTAGTGTCCTCACTTACTACTTGTGCTGGAAAAGACCTTAGTGTCTTCCTGGTTCTCAGACAGTGGGCCTTCCAGACGTCAGCTGGAAAAGGTCCCTAGAGATGGCTGACACTAACGGAGACTCTCTCTGCAGCAGCTCGTTCAAAGCACCTGTAAGGGTCCTACTCACGCATTTATGATGAGCGCCTGTTCTTCTATCAGGTTACCTTCACCGATCACTATCGGACCGGCTTCTGCGATGATTCGTGCCTTAGGGTGGATCACTGTCCTGGGTCCTGTTAAATGGATGGAAAAGAAGGTACCTGTGGAGGCCGAGCTTCCAAGGAGGCTGGTGGGAGGAACGTTTCCTAAAGCAGGTACCAGGTACCCCACGGGGCACGTTACAAAGGCTATCACTGTAGTTTGGGCCAAATCTCCAGCCCAGGAGAGGGGAGACAGCACAGGGCTTTGGAGCCGGATAGTCCCAGCTCACCCTCGCTTGTGAAGTCTCTGTCATCTCAGTGGTGAAATGGGGGTGGTGATAATACCAGTCCCGCAGGGTTGTTGTAAGAATCAGATGAAACAGTTTGTGGACAATGCTATTTTGGCATAGAGTTGGCAATAAAAATTAATTCCTTTCCTTCTCTTCCCTCATAAAGGTAAGGTTCTCATTGCTTACAACACTGGTACTTGCTTATGCTGGCGAACCATGCAACACTTTCTCATGCTGGTGTATTACAGGATGAGCCCTTTTATTAAGGGAACATGGTGCAATACTGGTGGAATGAGAGTTAGAAAACATGGAGACTAACCTGACCTTTGCTACTCTGTTACCATCCTTATTATAAGCCTCCTCAGTGGAAGAAGGCAGATCCCTTCCTGTCTGGTCGAGGATATGATTTTAACTAGTTGAAAAGGATAAAGGGAGGCAGACAAAGGGGCCACGCGTGGTTTCTGGACTCTGGCAGTGGGAGAGATGAGGCAGTGACTCCAGCCTCACGCTGAGGGGTTTGAAGGGCCCTCATCGCATTCCTTCACCACCAGGGTGGAGGAGGCCCTGCATGGCCTAAACACAGCCGTTGGTTCTGGACTGTACCATTCCCGTCCTCTGATTTACCCAAAGGCCTAGCATTTGGGTGATAATGAAGCCACTGATGAGAAAACATAACCTCACTGCAGGCTCTCCCTCCCAACGTGCCCCAACAACGCAGACCAAGGCCACCCTTATCTGTAAACACGAGGACAGGAAGTTTTTGCTTTAGACAGGACGCAGCTGACTCCGACAGCAGGACAGGATGGACAGAAGCGCTGACACGAGGTAGGGAGGGAGGCCGGAAGACGACACTGTTCGTGAAATTCAGTACTCAACTGTTCCAATAAACTGTACTAATAAACTGCTAAATTATTTAACAACCACTATCCGCTAGTGACAGGCAAGATGCAGGGCTGTATGTTATAGGGAAACAAAAAGAAATGGGTGCTATTTTTGCCCTCTGGAGCTTTGTCTGTCGTGAAAATCAGGAAGACTTAACACGCTCACTCAAAAATGTATTAGAATAAATAAGGAGGTGTTCCTGGTGCCCAGAGAATTGGAAAGAATCTCAGGACAGCTTATTTTTTCCCCTAACAATGAAGGGCTGGGGACTGATACAGAGGGTGGGGCCCAACATGGGTGCGGGGTCAGGGGACACACGGAGGCTGGCTTTGTTATTTGTGTCACCTCTGGCTCCCTAAATCCTCAGCTGCTAAAGTAAAACTTTCCTGGCAAATGCTCCTGCTTAGGATAGGAGATTTCAGAATAGAAGATGGGGTCACTCAGATCCCTGGGAAGCTTCTCAAGGTGACCATGACTGTGACCATGGGTGCCTTTCTCCTTTGGTAAAAAAATATACACACATACACATAATTATAAACACACACGCACACACATAATTATAAATATATACACATACATACAACACACACACATAATTATAAATACACACACACATACACGTAATTATAAAAGGAATACCTGCTCATCCCAAAAAACTCAATCAAAATCAAAAGTGAAAGATCCGCTCTCCTCCTGCTGATCCCATTCCCTGTAGGTTAACTATTCTTAAAAGTTTGGAGTATTACTGCAGACTTAAGTACTAGTATATATTTAAAATCTGTAAATATGACTGCATATAAAATATATTTCCCTAGAAAGTTAGAAGATAAGTTCAACTTGTAGGAGAAAAAATATGAATTTTACATACTAAAATATGAATTTCAAAAACTAAGGAATGGTACTTATTCTGCAATTTGCTTTTTCACCTAAGAAGTTATGGTGATTTTTTCCACATAAGCCCCTTTTTAAAAAAAAATTGTTGAATATTATTTCACATCATATTAATATACCATGATTTATTTAACCAATCCTTTAATAATAGGCATTTAGAAGAATTACCACTTCTGGGGAGACGTGCTAAAACAATGCTGAAACAAACACTGGATTCCTTTGAAATGAGAAATTTCTTATAGGTCCTTCCAGCTGTGTGAAGCAATTTAAAGCTGTGGTTTGCACAATGCCAGATTTATATTTTATGTTAAGATATTCTATGATAAAGGGACACGATCTTTCTATTTTCGGTTCTTTATAATTAAAGCCCCAGCCAGCAACCACATCCCTTGTCTAGAAAGTCCAGGCTCTGGCCTTTATCACTTAAAAGCTGTGTGCTTAGCCTCTCAAATGCCTCAGTTTTCTCATCTATAAAAAGATGAAGTCTATGATAGCCTATCTCACCAGGTTGAAGTGTGGATTATATTTGGAAAGGAAATCGTGGGGTCTGGCCCATAGTTCTTCAAAATGGGAGGTTCATCACTATCTGACACTAAGAGCTAAGAACTTTATCACAGAAAACAAAATAACTCTTTCTGGTCTGAGAAACAGAAGAAAAGGGACTGCTTTATTCCTCTGACACTCAGGTACAGGGTGAAACCTTTTAAACAGGGAAGAAATTCTTTACCTTTCTGTAAGACAGTGAAAAAGATTAATAAAAATTTTCCATACTGGCATTAAAGATCTGACAGGAGGAAGAGGTCGTCCTGGCTGTGACAGAAAGCAGATCCTTTACCACAGCTAGATTAGTACCCAGAGGCACGAGATATTCTGCTGGTCCTCAGGCTGCAGCTTTTGACAAGCAGTCTTGCAAAAAGCTAAGTGAGAAAAGGCTGATAAGACAAAGGTTACGCTGGGACCTACGTTTCTTTAAAAGTTCCTCTAAAGTACAGGTTTGAAAACAGTTGATATTTTCATTTTTTCCCATTTAAAAATAATGTTGGAGCTATGTTAGCCAGGTATTTTATTATTATTATTTCTTATCACTCTTAACAAGAGTGTTAGTAAATAACTGGAAAACTGGTTCTAAGTCTGAGGGCCTTCCCTGGGATACAAAGCATTACAGGAGACCGGTGAGCAGTTTCCATGAGACCCGTTTAAGACAACAGCTCCACCTGGTGGTCACACTGCCAAACTACAAAGTCCTGGAGTTCTGAAGTGACTCGAAAGGTGAAACTGTCGTAGTTCAATCCTTAAGGCATGTCCAACTCTTAGACCCCATGCACTGCAGGATGCCGTGCTCCTCTGTCCTTCGCTATCTTCTGGAGTTTGCTCAAACTCATATCCATTGAGTCGGTGATGCCATCTAACCATCTCATCCTCTGCCACTCCCTTCTCCTTTTGCCTTCAATCTTTCCCAGCATCACCATCTTTTCCAATGAGTCAGCTTTTCTCATCAGGTGGCCAAAGTATTGGAACTTAAGCCTCAGCACCAGCCCTCCAACGAATATTCAGGGTTGATTTCCTTTAGGATTGACAGGCTTGATCTCCTTGCTGTCCAAGGGACTCTCAAGAGTCTTCTCTAGCACCACAGTTCAAAAGCATCAAATCTTCAGCACTCAACCTTATGGTCCAACTCACATCTGTACATAACTACTGGGAAAACCATAGCTTTGCTGTGGACCTTTGTCAGCAAAGTGATGACTCTGATTCTTAATACACTGTCTAGGTTTATCATAGCTTTTCTTCCAAGGAGCAAGTGTCTTTTAATTTCATGGCTGCAGTCACTGTCTGCACTGATTTTGGAGCCCAAAGAAATAAACTCTGCCATGAAGTGATGGTACCAGATGCTGTGATCTTAGTTTTTTTAATGTTAAGTTTCAAGCCAGCTTTTTCACCCTCAGCAACAGGCTCTCTCCTCTTCACTTTCTGACAATAGAGTGGTATCACCTGCATATCTGAGGTTGCTGATATTTCTCCCAGCAATCCTGATTCCAGCTTGTGCTTCATCCAGCCCAGAGTTTTGCATGATGTCCTCTGCATAGAAGTTAAATAAGCAGGGTGACAATATACAGCCTTGACATACTCCTTTCCCAATTTGGAACCAGTCCGTTGTTCTGTGTTCAGTTCTAACTGTTGCTTCTTGACCCACATACAGGTTTCTCAGGAGACAGGTAAGGTGATCTGGTCTCCTGTCTCTTAAGAATTTTCCAGTTTGTTGGGATCCATATGGTCAAAGGCTTCCGTGTAGTCCATGAAGCAGAAGCAGATACTTTTCTGGAACTCCCTTGCTTTCTCCATGAGCCATTGAATGTTGGCAATGTGATCTCCTCTGAATTGTGAAGTAACAGCAAGGTCATGGGTGACAAACCAAACAGCTCCCCTTAACCTCCTGCAGGGCTTTTTGGGGCAGAGACTAGAGGTTAGTTTTTAAACATGAACCGCAGTATACGTGACTGCTAAGACTGAAGTTTGGTGAACTTCTTAAAGGAGACGCCTGACCAGGTGCTTTGTCTCTGCACAGCGCTGGAGGCTGGCACCAGAAAGTCTGATAGCCCAGCACTAGTGCAAGATGCGGGCAGCAACCGCATGCTGAAATGTGAGCACAGTCTGCTCCAGACTTCTCTGCATGCAAGTGGCACTTTCACCTAGGATGGGTCTGAATTCAAACCAAGCTGAAGGGCCTTGGGGTTAAAATGCTTTAAAAATAAAAATCTGTCACCATCGAAAGTTTCTGTTAAAAGGCTGTCGTGAACTTTCTTGGAGCCCTTTCTGGCAGGGTAGTTTGTGTATTTTCTTACCAAATGTGCTGAAACCCTATTTGGCTTATCTCCTTGTTTGGATAAATGTGTCTAGAGTTGGAGCTGCCTTACTGGCTGATGAATTATTTTTCTAAATGGTTGGCTGGGCTTGACGCAACCTAGCCAGAAAGACATTCCTTGCATCATATTTCCATTCCCTTCAGCTAGTAAAGGGTATTTTTCCTGTCTATCTTTGCCACAGAAAGCAATCTTTGTGGACATTTTCATATGTCAATAAATAGTTCCAAAAGCCACAAGGTCTCTTGAAAATGAAAACAATTCCTTTGACCTATAAGATGAAGTACTTTTAACAACTGTTTTATATTCGATTAATTTCTCAAGTCAAAGTCACTGTTTTGCCTTATTGAAAAAGACTTCCATATAATGTTGTACATATGAAACTTATGTAATATTATAAACCAATGTTACCTCAATTTAAAAAAATTTCCACAATAAAAGGGAAGCTTCTGATCAGTATTAAAAACTCTAATGGAAAGAACAACAAAGTGGGACAAAGTGCTTCCACGACAAAGCTCCGTCACTGCAGGAGTTCTGCCTTCACACCATGAGTCCCCAGGTGCTGTCCTAACCCCAGGAGTCCGCCTTCACGCTGTGATAGGACTACATGACTGTGCACAGATGGACTTTTCTAAAATGTGTTTCAGCTTTTAAAACAAAATTTTCAGAAAATAATGCAAAAGCCATAAATCAAGGCAGTCTAATTAAAAGAGGGGTTAAAAAAAAAAGCAGGCTTGATAGTAAATAAGATGAAACCTTATTTACCCAAATTATAATTAAGGAGAGAACTGTTATTTTTCCCAAGGTCTGTTTCCCAGCAGACTCTAATGAAAGGGGTCAGGTTCCAGCAGAGCCACAGACATAGGGTTTCTGGTTAAGGACTGCACTTCAAAGCTTCAGACGAGTTTCTTTGATAAACCAAATACTTGATTTACTAGGAAAACAGAAAATTTAAAGTTCTACTAACTGAAACATAGCAAGGTAAAACTGATGAGGGGATGGAAAGTTATGTAAAACATCGTGATATCTCCATATCTATACTGTAACAGGAGAAGACTTACATTAGTTATTCTGATAAAGTAAGCAAAAACAAAACCAGCCCTAAATTGAAAAACAATAGCCCACTGACAAAGGAATAGGTAAAGAAGATGTGATACATATATACAATGGAATATTTCTCAGCCACCATAAAGAATGAAATAATGCCATTTGCAGCAACATGGATGGACCTAGAGATTATCATACTATGCAAAGTAAGTCAGACAGAGAGAAGGACAAAGATCACATAATATGATATGTGGAATCTAAAAAAATGAACTTATTTACAAAACAGAAATGGGAGTCACAGATATAGAAAACACACTTATGGTCACCAGGGAGGAAGGGAGGGAGGGACAAACTGGGAGACTAGGGTTGATATAGACACACAACTATGTATAAAATAGATAATCAGTAAGGACCTACTGTACAGCGCAGGAAACTCTACTCAATCCTCTGTAATGACCTGTATGGGAAGACTCTAAGAAAGGGTGGGTATATGTATGTGTATAGCTGATTCACTGGACAGCTGGACAGCAGAAACTAACAACACACATCATAAATCAACTATACATCAATAAAACTTTCTTAATAAATAAAAAATAAAAATAAAAGTTTCTCTAAGAAAATTCCACACCCCTCCCCCAAAAAAGAAGGAAAAAGAAAACATGATAGGGAGAGTGAGTTTTAATCAGGTAACTTATCTCTACTCTCTGCTTTGATTGAACTTCATACCTACCAAGAGCTTTTTTCAATCTGAGATATTACATCAGAAAAAGGAATCAACAGTACAAAAAGATTAGAGATTATTCTGCACCAAATACAAAAGTGATAGAAATGACTAAGTATCAGCTCTGGAAGATTTCCATATTTATATACAAAATTAAGAATAAGAAACAGGCAAATGAAAATGAGATAATATATATGGAACATGGAACACTGGGTAACTGTATCACTCTGAATCTTTTCCTTAGTTTTGAAAATTGAGATGTTTCTGTAAAGTGAGCAAATTTTTTGGTTTTAAAAACCTGGGTCAAAAATAAACCCAACAAAATATTAACTTAGATCCATTCAATGATGAAATTAAAATCATTAGTTTTAAAAAATATATATCATTTCTTATGCTACAATCCATCACTGAAAATCTGTGATGAATAATCATTTTGTATTTTAACCACCAGAGTGGTGGCTGATCAGTCGGTGATCAGCTTATATGGAAAGTAGATTTAAATACCACACTTTACATAATTTCAACATTTAAGGAAGGCAAGAGGATGAGAGGGATAAAGAAGAGGGAAGAGCACCAAGATATGAAAGACAGAGGGAGAACAGTAAAGTGAGTGCTGATTCCTGAAATCCCCAGGCCCAATCCTACGCATCGGTCCAGCTCTTCTTTTCACAGGATAAAGCCTTTACTGCTCTTCTAGGGAAGCTTCTGCAAGAACAGGACCTGCTCTTTCAAATCTGAAACACACACACAAACATATATGTATACCTGTGTGTACACTTATGCCTGTAGAGATATCCGTACCATCTGTGTATCATAGCAGATACTGAACACATTGTTTAAAGTAGGGAAGAAGTAGAAATGAGAGGGAAATATCATTATTTTAGTCTTTCCTTCTAATTGTACAATACCCTGTGAATTAATATTAGATGTTATTCCTTGAGTCATGATGAAAGCCATAAAAATACTAGAATAAAAATGCAGAGGAACAGAAACATGTGGCTAATTTCTCCTTGTAAAAAGTCTGCAAGTGGTTTAAAAGTTAACAAAGTTAATATAGGACTGAAAAGAAATAGAATCACCTTCTAAACTGTGAAATTCTGTCAATTTAAAATAATTAATTAGATCCAATCTGGGCAAATCCCTAATGATGCTCCATAATACTGGCACAATCGTAACTAGTTTTATAAGATATGATCCTGAAGTGGCTGGAGGCTTAGATTTACTAAAGTTACAGGAAAATTTTTTTTCTTTTGCAGATACTGTTAGTGTAAGGGAACAAGGCACATTTTCTCTCTGAAAGTGTACTTCGTTTCCTGAAAGCTCTACTCTGGTAACACCCAGTGGCTAGTAAACACGTGCTCACGTTAAGAAAGCTACCGGGGCACCATGTCCCATGAAAACGTATGGAAAAGATCTAGTGGCTAAAATGTGCACTTGGGGGAACTCCATCATGTTCACATAAGCAAACTGTTGTTTAGTCACTAAGTTGTGTCCAACTCTTTTGTGACTCTATGAACTGCAGCCCACCAGGCTCCTCTGTTCAAGGATTTCCCAGGCAAGAATACTGGAGTGGGTTGCCATTTTCTTCTCCAGGAGATCTTCCCCACCCAGGGATTGAACCCACATCTCCTGCACTGCAGGCAGATTCTTTACCACTGAGCCACCAGGGAAGCCCAGGTTGCCACATGTTACATTGTTCATTTCGTTTAAATGCTGGACTTAACCTCTAAAGCAAGGCTAAACTGAGTTTACGGTGCAGCTAGCCAACATTTATTGAGTGCTTACTACATGTCAGGTATTGGGCAATGACTTTCATAAATACTCTCTTATTTAATCCTTCAAAAAGCTCTGAGGAAGGCACTCTTATTTTGCATGTGACAAAAGCTGCTGCCGTTGGATATCCATTCTTCCCTTTTTCTATGTAAGAGAACCCAATACGGGGGCAGCAATGTGTCCGGTTCAGAATACATCTCCCAGCATTCTCCATAGCTAGCCGAGTCCTTGAGACCAGGCCCAAGGCAGAGGGCGTTGTGGAACCCTCAGGAAGACTATTTAAGGCAAGCTGACTCCACTGGGAGGTGCATCCTTTTGTCTCCACTCCTCTCCTTCTTACCCAAGACACTCACATCCTGGCCTGTGAGGCCGGAGCCCCCGGACAATCACCTGACGGGACATGAACTGCCTACCCTCGGGCTTCTCATGTAAGAGAGCAGACCTCTGGGTTTACTACACTGCGTTACAACTCTGTGTACACTAGGCTACTACCCCTAGTAGTAGTGATAGTTTACTATCACCACAAACTGCTGACCCTAACCCTGACACACACAACGATACAGAGGGGAAAAAGAGAGATGAAGTGATGTGCCTGAGGAAATCCAGCAGATAGAGTGAGGATGCTAACCCCAAGTCCGTCAGACTCTGGATTACACTCTTAGAAGACTGTGAGCTCTGCTATATTCACTGCTGGGTCCCGAGTGCAAGCTCAGGTGTGAGCATAGGGCCTGGCACATAGTAGGTACACAGTAGATGTCTCTCAAATAAATTACTTTATCATGCTGCCACGTTAGTTTATCAGACAGGAGTTTAAATATAGACTCTATCACACTAAATTATTTGAGAAATATTAAATACTTAAGAGAAATACATTGCTTTGCCAATAAAATTAGGACCTCAGTCAAACATAGAAAATAATACCTAATAAACTGTCAAGCACTGAAATAAAATAAATAACACCAATTCTTAAGCGACAACACTAACAGGATATTTTCTTACCTATAGTGACATCACCTCTGATTTCGCTCTCTACACACACAACTGCTCCAGGTGCGATCTTCACACTGCAGGAAGAAAAAAGTAATATGCATCATGGGTAAGGTTTAAAAATACTGTTATAGAAGCTATCCTGACACTGCAATCACAGAAAGGTTAAAACAAACTGATGGAAAAATGAAAAGTAAACTGTAAGATTTAATATAGTATAAACTTCTCAGGTGATATACCATCCATCAAGCTAAAATAATGTATCATGTGTTCTTAAAATGCTTGAGAGGAAAAGAGCCATTGGACCCTTTTAACACCAACATTGTTTTTAAATAGCAAAAAGCTCAAAACAACCTAGGTATTCATTAGTAGAGACCTGGTTAATACATTATGGTATACTATGAATTAATATACAGCATAAGAAAGAATGAATAACCCTGTGTGTAAAGAGTTGGGATGATTTCCAAGCTACATTGTTAAGCTAAAAAAAATCAAAGCCAGGGACTAGAATCAGAGGCTCCAGCATAAAAGGACAGAGGGGAACACTAGGGTAATCACCGTGCAGTGGTCTTAGAGGGCAAAGGCAGAGGACTTCAAAGGGAAGATTTCTAGGAAACAAGAAAAAAATTTGAAAGATTATGTGATGAGCACTTGGGAAAAAAATCAGGAGGCATTTGACATATCTGTTGGAAGATTTGAAAAACATCAGTACATAGAAAAGTAAGAAAATGAAAAATGGAAGTTATTTGGTTAAATTTTAGATGAAGTCAGTTTGAGGTACCCATGGAGAAAGACCCAGTACAGCTAGATCTGGGGCTATGAGAGAGTGCTAGATCAGAAATATAGCTGAGAGTCAGCAGAGTACAAACTCTTTAACATGTTTCTCCATCATTCATATTCCAGAATCCACCCAAATATTCCCTAATATAAATGCAGAGTAACACCAAAAATAAATATTAAAAAAAAAAATCACCACTTCCATACTGATGTGGAAAACTAAAAAAGGACATGCACAGATTTTTCTTCTATAAATTTAAGTGAACAAATCTTCCTATCACAAAGTATTTTTAAAGCTTTAAGTAAAAAGAATATCCATCAGAACTTCCCTGGTGGTCCAGTGGTTGAGAATCTGGCTGCCACTGCAGGGGACATGGGTTTGATTCCTGGTCCGGGAAGATTCCACATTACTGTTGTTCAGTCATTAAGTTTGACCCCATGGACTGTAGCATGCCAGGATTCCCTGTCCTTCACTATCTCCCATAGTTTGCTCAAACACATGTCCACTGAGTCAGTGATGCTATCCAACCACCTCATCCTCTGCTGCCCGCTTCTCCTCCTGTCCTCAATCATTCCCAGCACAAGCTCTTTGCCAAGGAGTTGGCTCTTTGCCTGAGGTGACCAAAGTACTGGAGCTTCAGCTTCAGCATCAGTCCTCCAATGAATATTCAGGGTTGACTTCCTTTAGGATTGACTCCTTGGGGTCCAAGGGACTCTGAAGAGTCTTCTCCAGCACCAGTTTGGAAACATCAATTCTTTGGTGCTCAGCCTTCTTTATGGTCCAGCTCCCACATCCATACACGACTACTGGAAAAACCGTAGCCTTGGCTATACAGACCTTTGTTGACAAAGTGGTATCTCTGCTTTTTAATATGCTGCCTAGGTTTGTCATAGGTTTCCTTCCAAGGAACAAGCATCTCTGAAATTAAAAGGTTCCACGTGCCATGGGGCAATTAAGCCTGTGCACCACAACTACCCAGCCTAGAGCCCATGCCTTGCAACGAGAAGCCGCCACAATGAGAAGCCCACATATTGCAACTAGAGAGTAGCCGCCACTCTCTGCAACCAGAGAAAGTCCCCACACAGCAATGAAGACCCAGAACAGCCAAAAATAAATAAGTTAAAAAAAAAAAAACTTATAAGCCTTAAGTCTATCTTTAAAATATGTCCAGAGGAGACACAGTTACGTCTGTCTCCATCATATTGACAGGCACTGACTCTCTACAAGGCACAAATTAATACAATTTAAAAATGACCCATCTGGGTTACTACAGGTCACCTGTCTACTGAAACCACAGAAAATATATAACCTTTCTATTGAATAGGAGAGGAAAAACTTTAGTGACATGGAGCAGAAAACAGAAAATGCACCAAACCCCTCATTTTCTAGATGAGGAAATTGAAGCGCAGGGCCTTGAAATTTCTTGAAGCAAAGATCATTCCTGGGACATCACTGTCATAATAATATCGAAACACAAGTCCATGTGACTCACAGAGCGGCCAAACAATACTAAAACGTCAGAGTTTGGAGCAGAGGAAGTTTTACTGCAGGGCCAGGTAAGGAGATGGGTGGCTTATGCCTTAAAACCCCTAAACTCCCTGAAAGCTTTCAGCACAGCTCTTTTCTAGGAACTGGGGTGGGGGCGTGGCTAGTCATTGCAAACATCCTAGGTCAGATCCTTTGTACTTGAGGTCAGCTCATGGTCAGGTAACGATGTTCCTGTAAATCTCTACCAAATAAATGTTATTCTCTGTTCTGATGAGAAAGGGCCAGGTCCCAAGGCACAGCTGTCACCCTCCGAAGTCCAGGTCCTGGCTAAGAGGAGGCAGACATCCATCAGGGCCTGTCCCCAGACCCTGCGTAACCGTCACAGCTGAGGGAGACAGGCGCCCAGGACCCCAGCGACCCTCAGGCTCTTCAAGCCACCCTTAGGGCAGGGGCTGGGTCCTGCAGACTGCATCCTATGCAGATGCCGCTGCCATTATGCTGCAGACACGGATGCGGGAGAGGTTGCAGCTGCTCAAGGCCTGAGCCTGGCCAGTGGGAGGCCTTGGCCAGGGCTCTGGAGCCCTGCAGGAAACAGCCCCCAACTGTCCCCAGGATCTGCCTCTTACCTGACTCTCTGCCTGAGGCCTGAAGACCACCGCTCTGCTGACTGAGGGGACCACTGTCTCTCACTGACAGCTGGGGGCTTGTGGGAGGGGCCCACTGCAGCACCCATGGATGGTTGAGCAGGACCGCTAATGGTTGTTCACTGACAGTTGATTGCTTATGGCTGCTGCTACTACTGCTAAGTCACTTCAGTCGTGTCCGACTCTGTGCGACCCCAAAGACGGCAGCCCACCAGGCTCCCCCGTCCCTGGGATTCTCCAGGCAAGAACACTGGAGTGGGTTGCCATTTCCTTCTCCAATGCATGGAAGTGAAAAGTGAAAGCAAAGCCACTCAGTCGTGTCCGACTCGCAGCGACCCCATGGACTGCAGCCCACCAAGCTCCTCCATCCATGAGATTTTCCAGGCAAGAGTACCCGAGTGGGTTGCCATTGCCTTCTCCGATTGCTTATGGCAGGAGCCCAGTTAACTGTTACCTGGCTTCCCAGGTGGTTTGCTGGTAAAGAATCTGCCTCCCAATGCAGGAGATGCAAAAGAAGCAGGTTCGATACCTGGGTTGGGAAGACCGCACCCCCCAACCCCCCCAAAATGGCATGGCAACCCACTCCAGTATTCTTGCCTGAAAAATTTCATAGACAGAGGAACCTGGCAGGCTACAGTCCATGGGGTCACAAAGAGTTGGGCAACTGTTACCTGGTAAAGGGGCGGGGCTTAAAGGTGTATAGCAATAGTCCATGCTAAAGTTTGAGTCCATGCTCAGCCATACTCTAAAGCACAAACATCAATCATCTCTTTTTTGTTAGCGGGAAGTTTCCTGGAAACATCCTGTCATTTTGGACAGTTTTCTTGTGTCAGCTGAATGATTTTGCCCTTGAAATGTATCACCATTTAGAAACACTTTTTCTCTGATCCTTTTCCCTTCAGGTGGGTTTGTGTGTTTAAAAAAGCAATCTTATTAAGCCGTGGACAAATAAATTAACCTCTATAAAACAGCTCATTTTACACATGATTTCCGATCCTAGTTTTCTATTCCTTTAGCCTCCCTCTTGCTATGAATTTTTTTTTTTAATGAAAAAAAGCATTACCTAACATTTAACTTACCCTGGGCAAGTGAGAACAGAAGAGACTCAAAAATGCCCTGTCTTCAATTTTACGCCCAAGGAAGTCGCCCCAGGTTGTGTGCGTCACAGTCAGCATATTTCTTTGTGAGGCAGGAATAATTAAACTCATCATTAGACCAATTAAAACGTGGTCCAAATACCGCGGAGAGTGACCGGGCGGAGCTGAGAGCAGGCAGTTGAGAGAAGACTTAGCCGAAGTCCTAACTAATAAAATATCAACAGTACCCTCATCTCCACAGCACACTCCTATATACTGTGTACACTATTCCTACCATATCTGTTCCTCTTTAGCTTATGCAAAAGATTACAATTACTTGCCTAAATAGATGAAAAACCTAAATGTTAATTTATGCCCTCCCCCAAAACAAGGCTTGTCGGTGTTCATTTTCTAAAAGAGTCAGCAGAGGGTGCTCAACTTTGCTGCTTTGGGAAACGGTTTAACTGAAGCTTGTCTTGCATCCCAGCTGTCCCTTTCCACCGACAGCGCCCAGTAGCCCCGAGGCTTGTTCCCACGCATTTACCAAGCAGGTAGCTTTGACCCAGGCGCGGCCCCCGCTTGGAGTCCGTCTACACATACTCGGAGCGCCTCCGACGGACAGGGAGGGTCTCGGGGGCCGTGGGCGATGGGGACACAGGACAGCTACAGGGGTTAGGAGAGCCGCGGAAAAGGGGAGGGTCCCTCTGTGTCCCAGGCGGCGGGGACGCCCTGCATCCTCAGCAGGCCCGCCCGAGACAGCGCGGGCGCGTGGCCGAGGGCCAGCGAGGCCACCGAGGGACCACGAACCAGAACCTTTCACTACCCCATTCCGCATCCTTTCTCGGCCCTCGCTACCCCCAGCCCGTCGCCTCCTCCCTCCGCGAACGCCAGGTCTGGGCCTTAAGAACCGGGCGCCTGGAATAAGACACCACCTAAGTCCCCACCACTGGCGACCAAGAGCAGATTCCACCCCTGCGGGGAGGAGAGGACAGGTTCTCAGACAGCGACCCACCTCTTTTGAGTCTTCTCCGCCATGGTTTCGGCTTCTGTTTCCAGTTGGATCGACACAACCGCCTGAGCACAGCGATGATCTCTGTGGGCGATAGTGGAGCCTGGCAGGACGGGGAAGGGGCGGAGCCTGTCAGGACGGGGCGGAGCCTGTCAGGACGGGGGAAGGGGCGGGGCCTTGGCGTTGCTCGCGGGGGCGGGGCCGGCTCGCGGTGAAGGTTTCAGTTCCGTATGAGCCGGCTCCAGCCAGGCGGCGGTGTTTGGCCGCAAGCTGATTGTTAGTGCAGTGAAAGGATTGGCGGACTCGGATTTAAAACAGCCCTTAAGTCAGATCCAACGTAAGTCATTGTGACTTCATTAAGCCCCACTGTTCATTCTCAGTTAAGTTCCCAAAGGATCCTCCTGCTAAACCTGGGCCCCTTTCCCTTTCAGTATAAGCTGGTTCCCACCCCCCAACCCCCACCGTAAATTAAGTACCCTCTACCTGATTTCTTTCTAAGGTTAATCTCTAATTCTGTCCTTTCCAAGCTTCACACCTGATTATTCGAATGCCTACTTGACCTGAATGCTGCGAGATCTTATGAAACCTAAAATGTCCAGAACAGAGCTTTGGTGGCACAGTGGTAAAGAATCTGCCTGCCATGCGAGAGACCTGGGTTCGATCCCTGGGTTGGGAAGATCCCCTAGAGAAGGGAAAGGCTAGCCACTCCAGTATTCTGGCCTGGAGAATTCGATGGACAGTATAGTCCGTGGGGTCACAAAGAGTAGGACATGACTGAGCGACTTTCACCTCTGCTGGTCCTACCTCTCTTTCTTACAGTTTGCATCATTTACTATCTCTAAATCTCCCTCTGTAGTCTGCGCCTTCTACCCTTGAGCTCTAAAATCACATTTCCATCCAGGCTACTCTTCTGTAGTTAAAAATCATCCTTTAAAAACCAAATTCAGTTATTTTTTTTACTTATTCCTTTTAAAATCCAAACTCATTTCCATTACCTATTTCTGGGCTTGATCCAGCCCCTGCCCACTTCTCTCTTCTTTAATTTCATGTTCCTCTTCCTCTTCTTTGAAATGGAGCAGGACCCTATGAGCCTTCCCCCATGTCCTCCGCCTGCCTTTTGTCTGTTGAAATCTCAGTCAAAACTTATTAGTTTAATCAGAGAAATGAGAAAATGTGGAAACAAAGGATAGCAGTCAAAGGAGACCAAATACTAATGATGTACTCATTAAGCATAGTCAGGGATATTTAGTTCCTTCTCAAGGGCTATGGGGAGAAGGCAATGGCACCCCACTCCAGCACTCTTGCCTGGAAAATCCCATGGACAGAGGAGCATGGTAGGCTGCAGTCCATGGGGTCGTGAAGAGTCAGACATGACTGAGCAACTTCACTTTCACTTTTCACTTTTATGCATTGGAGAAGGAAATGGCAACCCACTCCAGTGTTCTTGCCTGGAGAATCCCAAGGATGGGGTCACACAGAGCCGGACACGACTGAAGTGACTTAGCAGCAGCAGCAAGGGCTGTGGATGATATTCTGAGCCATATGCTGTGAGCTGTCTTATAAACACTGAAACCCCCACCAGGTGGAAGACGCTAACTACATGATGACCAGACTGTAGCCGTGACAGAAGCTGCCACAGTTTAAAGAACTGGCCTCAAAGAAATGGAAACAAACTGACCCTGGAACTGAAGATTCAGTTCAGTTCAGTTCAGTACAGTCGCTCAGTCATATCCGACTCTTTGCGACACCATGTACTGCAGCATGCCAGGCCTCCCTGTCCATCACCAACTTCTGGAGTCCACCCAAACCCATGTCCATTGAGTCGGTGATGCCATCCAACCGTCTCATCCTCTGTTGTCCCTTTCTCCTGCCCTCAATCTTTCCCAGCATCAGGGTATTTTCAAATGAGTCAGCTCTTCGCATCAGGTGGCCAAAGTATTGGAGTTTCAGCTTCAACATCAGTCCTTCCAATGAACACCCAGGACTGATCTCCTTTAGGAGGGACTGGTTGTATCTTCTTGCAGTCCAAGGGTCTCTCAAGAGTCTTCTCCAACACCACAGTTCAAAAGCATCAATTCTTCGGCACTCAGCTTTCCTTATAGTCCAACTCTCATATCCATACATGACCACTGGAAAAACCATAGTCTTGACTAGACAGACCTTTGTTGGCAAAGTAATGTCTCTGCTTTTTAATATGCTGTCTAGGTTGGTCATAACTTTTCTTCCAAGGAGTAAGCATCTTTTAATTTCATAGCTGCAATCATCATCTCCAGTGATTTTGAGCCCAGAAAAATATAGTCAGCCACTGTTTCCACTGTTTCCCCATCTATTTGCCATGAAGTGATGGGACCGGATGCCATGATCTTAATTTTCTGAATGTTGAGCATTAAGCCAACTTTTTCACTCTCCTCTTTGACTTTCATCAAGAGGCTGTTTAGTTCTTCTTCACTATCTGCCATAAGGGTGGTGTCACCTGCATATCTGAGGTTATTGATACTGAAGATTAACTGTATTTAAAACAATCAAGATGAAGCTGGTCAGACCACCAGTGACCAACTTGAAGATGATCGTCAGAGTGGACTGTGCTGTTTCTGCATGTAGCCCCCTCCCTCAGGCTATAAACGTTCTTGCCCTCCTGGTTGTCAGTGGAGGGGGGAGTACACCTTTGGACAGGCATCTGTCCCCCCACCCCCGACCCCTGTCGCCAGCATCCGAAATCAAACTTTTCTTTCCACCAGCCTGGTCTGTTTACTGGCTTTTGAGTGGCGAGGACCCGGACCCCAACTTTCAGTAACATAATCACACTTTAATTCTCCAAGAAGCCAGGTTGAATTCAGACCCAAACCACTTCCACCCGCCCTCTACTCTCACCCCTCTTCTGACCGTTTAAGTCTCATGTTCAGTGTATCAGTCAGGGTTTAACCACAGAAACAAAAGCATTAGGAGATAATATAAGAAGAGGCTTATTGCAGGAAGAGGTTAATCTTCCTGATCATGGGGGTTGGTTAGGCAGGTAAGAAACCTACAGGGCACATTGCAACACTCATACATGGATCGCAGCCACTGTCTACGGGTAGAATTTCTTCAGGGAAGCTCCAGCTCTGCCCCTAAAGCCTTTTAATTGATGCGGGATCTTAGTTCCCTGACCAGGGATTGAACCCATGCCGCCTGGAGTTGAAGTGCAGAATCCTAACACTTGGACCACCAGGGAATTCCCACTTTGGCCCTATTCTTTACTCAATACTGGCCACAATACCTGACACATAGTTGATACTTAACAAAACAAAACAAAACTTGAATAAATATATGGATGAATTTAGAACATCCTGTTGTCTCCAAGCAGGTAAACACCTATTCACTTTTAAGCAATGTCTAAATTAATTTAAAAGACTTCCATGGCAAGAGTAACAGCCAGGGTTCTCCAGAGAAACAGAAGCGGTGGACAATAATATAAATACACACACACACATTAATTTTAAGGTATTGGCTTACTAGGTCATGTAGAAGTAGACTCCCAGGCTGGAAACTCAGGGAAAAGTTGATATTGCAATCTCATACCCAAAGCCTAAATGTGGGAAATTCAAGCAGGGTTTCTTTGAGGCAGGATTTCTTTCTGGGGGGAGAGCCTCAGTCTCTGCTCTTCAACCTTCAACTGATTGGATGAGGCCCACCCACATTTTGGGTGGTGATTTGTTTTACTCAAAGTCTATTGATTTAAATGTTAATATCACCTTAAAAATACCTTCGCTGCAATATTTAAACTGGTGTTTGACCAAAGAGCTGGGCAGTGAAGCCTGAGTTGATGCAAAATTAATTGCAAGAGCGTGCTTATAAGAAGGTCCGTTTTATCAACATTAGGTACAGTGTCTAGGACCTATAAGCTTTTTGAGAAATCTACAAATTGTTTGAGACCTGAAAGTAAAAATGTGCTGATTCCAAAATTCAAGAAGAAAAGTACAAGTAGGTATTCATAAATACTTAATTCAATGACTAGAAGCATAACTTTTCCCTATCCAAATAAGTGCAGCTCAATTCTTCTGAACCTAGCAACTATATTCAATGGGGGTTGTGGTTGCATTTTAATATGTTTAATATGATGTGAGCTTATTCATTGCTTAGGGAGCCCTTTTCTCCCATTAATTGCTCTAGTGTTTGTCTAGGGTTTTGTGCCATCTGTGGCCTGGAAAAAACTATCCGTTTGGGAACATCCTTCCCGAGTCAATTTAAGCATTCCCCCTTCTCTACTTCCCTTGCATTTGAAAAATTCCTTATCTCTGTAGATGATTGCTTCTTTATTTATTCACTGCAGTATGCCAGTTCTTTAATGAAAGTATTTGTTGCCCTTTCCTTCTTCCTAGTCAATTCAGAGCTACTGGAGGGCAGGAGCCATATCGTATTCATCGTTCTATCCCTAGCACTTGGCACAGGTCTGTCATAAATTGGCAGCCTAATGGGGCTCATCATTTTTATTAATCAGTTGGTTTACCTTCAACTACATCCAACCAAGCAGTTTATCCTCCATGCTTTCCTATACGGTATCTAATCTTCATAACAATTCTCTTGAAGACAACAGAACAATTTTGCTGAATAGCTGGCATTATTGTATCTTATTTTAAGATGAAGGCTTTCAGTTTCAGAGAGAGAAAGTGATTTGCTTGGAGTTCCCCAGCTAACAGGAGGCTTCCTTTCATGCCTTCTCTTCTGTGAAGAGCTGTAGCTCACTAACAGGTGGTCCTTGCCTTTAAGATTTTTTTTCTCCTTAAGATGATAGTATATCAGGTTATACTTCTCTGTCTCTTATCTAAGACTGCTTGCTCTTGCATGTACCTTCGGAGATGAAAAATGGCTGGTCAGGGACAGCGTGGTAATGCTCTGGGCTCAGAAGATGGACCTCGATTAGCCACAAGGCTTCTTGTTCTTGTCTTGCTTCTAGGCAGTGTTTCTTGGATTGCTTGTCCACACCCTAAAGAAAAGCTTCTCTTTAAATATTCCTCTCCACATTTTTTCTTCCTTAAAATCTTTTGAA